AGGAGGAGGAGGAGGAGGAGGAGGAGGAGGAGGAGGAGGCAGTGATTCAGAAGGAAATGCTGTCTCTCACTAAGTTGATTGGTATTAAGTTTCTCTGCATCAGCATCATGGGCCAAGGATATGCTGAACAGCCTTGTAAATCGTTAACTTTGGTCTTCTGCTTTACACCATCAAAGTTTGCATAAGGTCACATTCTAGGAGGTTGCATAGCCAGGGTCATAGAAAAGATTTGCCTTGTTTCAACCGCAATCAATTGGTAATGAGTCCCTAGAATTCCAGGTAGGGAGAAATTCTAATGCTTCTGGTCTCACTAGAAAAGATCCATGATTAATAAGTGATGTCTGCCACAGTGATTCACATATGTATCCCTGTTTAATGGGATGGTAGTAACAAGGATTAACACAAATAATCACCAAACTAAGGAATATAAGATCACTAAAAACAAAGTGAGTTGAACAAGAAACTCAGCTATAATTACAAGAAGTATATTCTTAAGAATGGACAAAGTATTTCTTGGCATTATGTTTAGGATAAAAAAGAAAAAAACAATAAAGTTTTTCATTATACCTGAATTTGAACACTGACCCTTATAGCTGGTTGCAATAATTTCTTTCTTCAAAATAGGGTGATAATAATGCCCATATTACATGCCTTAGAGTTCTTTGAGAATTCTATATTTAAAATACTCATTTCAGTGCTGAGCATAATACTAATCTTCATTACATTGTAGCTTTTGTGTGCATGTAAGTGTGTGTGTGTGTGTGTGTGTGTGTGTGTGTGATGCTAGGGATCAGCCCAGGCTCTTGTGCATGCTACAGAAATGCTCTAACACAGAGCCCCACACCACCTCCAGCCTTAGGTTGTAGCTTTCTAATATAAATTCTGAGCAGCAGAGTGCCTATAGAGTACTACTGTTGGTAGATAATGACACTTTTTGGGACCTAAACAGGAAGAAGGTCAGAAGGGATAAGTAGACCCACATTCTCCATCTCACTGCTGGAGATATATTCTACCTTCCTTCAGAATGACTGTCCATGAGATATGCATAGCTTCAATGCCCTCAGTTCTCCCTCTCATCCTGGAGATACAGCAGAGGACAGAAAGGCAATGACATATAGCACTGGGCTATGAAGTTCATGGTGACAGGTCCGTTCCACTCCTTTATAAAATAACTTGTGCTAACCTGTGTGATCACATGGAGTGACCACCCCTACCCCTGTGTTCAGACTTCAGCTCTGGCCAGATGACACTATCCCTAGAGCAGGCTTTGATCCAGGGAAGCACACAAAAGGTCAAGACAGTCAGTATTCTTTGGACTTTTGCTGAGCCATTTCTCCATCATGTCCTGCACCAAGAACTCGGGGCAACAGAACCCTCCCAGTATCTATTATTTTCACTGTTCATATGGATCGTAAAACCACCAGGGAGAAAAGAGAACCAAAAAGGAAAAAGCGTGCTAGAATACTAATGTCACTGCTGAAATCCCTCAATATAAACATGTGCCAACCAATAATTTACTTTTTTGATTCCTTTTTTTTTGTTTACTTTTACACGCAGCATAATCTTGACTGGTGTGTCCATTTACAAAACAGATAATGTGAACTGACGATAAACAGCTGGAAAGAGAAAGGAAGATGCACCAAGTCTCAGAGGAACTCATTCATTCTTTGATAGTTTGGGAAAATCATTTAACCTTCTTGAGCCCCAGTTTACTCATATGCCAGATGAGAGAAACCTCAGGACCACAGATGTGGACAGACACCTCCTAGAGAAGAGGCACCATTTATATTACAGGGCAAAGCAGGTGGCAGGGGCTGGCATAGTGCAGCAGGGACTGGGAGATACTGGGAGCAGAAATCACCTTTCTTCCTGGCTTGTGAGATGAGATCAGCTGCGCTCTTGCTCATGACCTTGGTGACATAGAGGGGGCAGTTGGTCTGGCTGGCGATGGTGATAGCTCGGAACACAGCCTCAGCTTCCAACTGAAAGATAAAATCACCAGGAGTCAATGGAGCAAGAGTCTCTCACCCCTTCCACTTCCTGCCTCTATAGAAGGTGACAATGCAGTGCTGTCAGAGGCTAAGAACCACACAGTTACATCTGGAATTAGATGGCCTGGGTCTGCTTCTCTGATACACCTCCTCCACGTCGCATGACTTTCATGCTTCTCAGTGTCTTTGTCTCTCAACAGAGAAAACGGGAGTGTAGCATACAGCTGTGTCTAGGGCAGTGCCTGGCACACAGTAGGTATTGAGAGCTCAGAGCTTTCTTAGCCTCTCCTCTAAGAGGAGGTTATCATAAAGGCTGACCCTGAATGGAAGTCTCGGCAACCCAATCTTCTCAGGGCAGATTCTGTGGAAAGACGTGACCATGTCTTTCCAGAACATGGTCACATCACATCATGGTCACATCACAACACGGTCAGGTCTAGAATCACCACTGATGGCAATCAGGTACCATAGTGCATCAGGGATTTCTTATAGGAATAATTCTCAAGCTTCACAGCACAAAGACTTCTTTTATTATTGATGACTTTGATCCCATCCCAATATGCTAACTAACCCAGCTGCATTTAGTAAGAAAGAAGTAATTATTTTCCCTGTATTTTATTAGAGTAGGGTTGAGAGCTCAGCTCAGGCTCCCCTGAATGGACTGAGTATAAATCCAGATTCTACTATTTACAAATTGAATGAGTTCAGGTATATCACATGACTTCCCAATGCTTCTGTTTTCTTGTCTAAGTGGGGATAATAATGGGTCCTGACACCTAGAGCTATTCTGAGGATTAAATGATTAATCCTTGCAAGTAATTAGCCTGCTCCTGAAGCAAGGCACATGTCCCAGGAAGGCTAGCTACTGGTGTGATTACTGGTCACAATTTCTGACCAGTGTGAAGTGTGCTATTATCCAAACCCTGAGTCCAATTCAGCCTGGAGTAGAGACATTGGTCCTTTTTTCTTCAATTAACTGTCATTCCTTTTTGCACGAATATGATTTTCTGGTTAGCCTGGGAGACCAACCCTTTAAAAATCTACTCCAAATAGTTTGCAGATGTCCAGTGGTTGCATACTGCAAGTTAGTCACTCTATGGTGAATGCGGCTCAGCAGGCAGGCATAAGGAACTTGGCTGATTGAACTGACATGCCCCAGAAGGCCCCTGGGTGCAGGTGAACCCCTCTGAAACCCCTTGAACTGTGTCCTGGAGTCTCTTCTTTGTACCTGCAGCTCTACTCTCTGAACAACATCACATGAGATGGTGTCTCTGGGTAAGCTCTGAACTGAAGAGGGGCTGGCTTCTCCTGTGCTCTCTTTCCCTTCATCTACTGATCACTTCAGCTCCCCATGACCTCTGCTCTGGCTCTTTGCTCACATTCCTTCTCAGTGCTGCAGGTTTTCCACACTTTGACAACATGACTATCTTTGGAAGGTTATATCACTCTCCAACTTTACCCAAAAGAGCTTCTAGAGTTGTAGAGATTTGCAGCTGAGAGGCCTTTTGACTAAAAAGGAGACAGGACTAGGAAAGGTTGAGGTGGCGGGGGTGGAGCGAGGTTGAAAAACAAACCAAGGAGCAAAAATAGACTTTGCTGTGAAATCCCCTGGCTGCTGTTAAAGAAAATCTGTCTTGCCAGCACATCCCCACAGTGACCAGCATTTACAGTCTCACCAACAGTGCTGACTACCCTGGCCTGCTAATGCCACATAAATGATTTTCCAATCCTTCAAACATGGTCAGCCAGTGGCAGGCCTTTTCTGAGCTTCAGGTCCATTGCTGCACAATCATGGCAGCTACCTAGAGCGGTAGCAAGGGTAATGAGTCCATGCACCCAGTTAACCCAGTGCCAGTTCCTTAGAAAGGGCCTGGTTTTAAGGGGACAGACTGAGAATTGTGTTTGACTGGAGTTGTAACAATAAATTGTATCAAATGATAAGTTCTAGAAAGCTGACCAAGTCTCTGTCTCCATCTGGGAGCTCCTAATACAGTGTATTGAGTTTGTAAAAATGTATATCATCTTTGTGATAGAGAACACTTTTCTATGTGTGTGTTACATTTTAACTTTTTTAAAGGCTCTAGAAGAGATGGGAAATGGAACACAATTTTTTTTTCTGGTTCTGGTTCCTTCTTCAGTGGAATTTGGGATGACAGGATAAGGCACAATTAGTTTCAGTGACATGAGAAGCCTTGAATACACTGAAGGTACCCAACCAGAGCCAATCGGCTCTCAGACTGCTGCGCAGCCAATTGCAAGCTCTGAGCTCTGTCAAAGTGACCGATGTGAGACACGGAATCAGTCACTAGTCACACCTTTTATTCATTCTGCAGCTGCTAACACACAGATGCATATCCTCATTCATTTCATAAATGGGAAACTTCCATTCCTGACTGTAACCACTGCTATATGCAAATTAATGGGCATAATGCCTATGGAAAGTCCAACCTCCTGCCCATACCCTCAGTGCTTTGCAAGACTCAAAACACAATGTGACATGAGAGAGTGAGGAGGAATAGCTCCAGTGTTCACGAGGATTGAGAAAGGAATTAGACACAGTACTCCCTGGAGTCTGTGGAGTACACTGCTGCTGGGCTATCTGAGATCACAGTGGGAGCGGGCACTACCTCCACATTCCTTTCAGTTTTCTCACTGTCCCTTGAGTTAGTGTCAACCAGAGGAGGTCTGTGAGTGAAATCCTCCCACACTGCTACCCGGTGCTCTCAGATTCTTACCGCCATTCAGTGACACTTATTCTTATACTGTGTGTGGCTGTGGCTCAGGAGAGTGAGCCAGACAAAACCAGGTGTAAAATGAGTAGCAGGCTGAGGACTGTGACTATCAGAGTCTCCAAGAAAAAGTGAAAAAGAGCCCCTGCTGCTGAGGCTTGTCTCTCTCCTTATCTGGTCCTGCTCCTCTACCCTGTCAAACTCACCTCCTCTGGTCTGCTCAGAACATGGCCTTCTGGGCCAGTAATCCCCATTTCCAACATCCGTGCCTGCTCCTAAAATAAGAAAAACAAAATGGAAAATATTCTTTGGTGAGCTGAGCCAAGATTTGGAAAAATTATATCTGTGTGCTCTGGCCTAAGGATGCACTCAAGGGGGAAAAAAAGGAATAAAATGTATATGCTGAACAAATACATTCATTTTACATTTGGAATTGTAAGACAGAATCTTTAAAAAGTTGACTGGATTCTTTTTATTAAAAGGAAGATAGTCTGTTAGGGTATTCAACTTTTGTCTACGTTACCCATAAAAATGTCACTTCCTCTGTGACACTTCAGAGACCACAACTTGTGTAAGTGCACTTGCTCCACTTGTCTTGTTCAGACATACACTTGAGTCGTATCTATTCCACAACACGTGTTGACCATCTGCTCCATGCTAGGTTCTGGGTTTAGGACCTGAATTAAAGCGATGGGGAACCATGTTCCCTAAAGTGTGGTTGCCTATCACTTGTATCAGATTCACCTGGCTGCTTTTGTACATATGCAGATTTCCAGGCCTATTCTGGCCTTATTAGAAGATAGAGGGTTGAATTGTTTTACTAATTGCCTCTGGATTTGAGTGCTTTATATCCATATATTGAATTCACGGGTTCGGTATTTAGCTAGGCAAGATCATGCATCTTAACAGCATTACCTTAGTTACTATTTCAGTCAAAATTGTGCTGTTTGAACAATTGCAGAATTATCTCCTTCTTATGGCTGACTGTTAATTTTCCTCACACTTTTTCTGGACAGCTTTTATGGAGAAGCACATGGTTGGTCAGAGAACATGGGAGGTGCTAATTGGGACTGACAGAAATCCTGAGCCACCATTATTTTCAGTTGTGCTGGGTTTCACCCTGAAATTATTAAGGACAGTTCCTAAGAACCTCTGCTTGGTGATCCCAGCCTAGGAGCCTGAAGATCTTGGTAATGCAGGAGATACGACAGCTGGAACAAGCCTGTCTTATCTTGTAATTATGAGACAAATAGCACAGAAGGATTCTGAACAGCTGGAACGAAAACTTCCTTTTTGTTAGTAATGTAAATCAAGAGGAGTGATGATAAAAATGCACATTTGTGGTGGTTAATCTCCATGGTCAATTTGACTGGATTTGGAATCACCTAGGAGACTGGGCTGGAGAGGCATACATTTGGGTATGACTATAAGAATTTATTGAGGGTGAGTCACACCATTCCATGGGCTGTAAATCCTGACAGAATGAAAAGGAAAAGAGAAGAAAGTCAGCAGAGTGCAGGCATTCCTTCTTTCTGCTTCCTGGCCTGACACAAGGTGAACTGCTGTGTTCCTGCCTCCCAAGATGGAGTAAGATCTCTGAAACATGAATCTGTACTTTAAGTTGTTTCTGTTAGGTAACAAAGGTAATGAACACAACACACCATTAAAAATTCTCTTAAAAAAAAGCTCAGAGGATGATTTTTTTTCTGGCAAAGCACCCCTGATTTGTATTCTTATCATCCTCTTTTATTGAAATCTGGAATAAACACGATTTCTTCCAAACTCCAGTGAATGGTCCACTCTGATGAGCCTCAAGTCACACAAGGGTTAAGGTTTACAAATAGAGTATCTTCTGTCTTATATGACCATGGTCTCTGTGTTCATGTGTGCTGGGTTAACAGCATGAAGCCGGCTCAGAAGTGGTCTCCAGACACATTCTTCAAGGGGTCATACTTTGAAAACACATTTCTGAACTCTATCAGAATCAGAATCAGAATACCACTGAATCAGAATCTCTGAGATCTGGAAAATCCAGTGTTGCAATGCACCCTTCATGTTGAGAAGTCCTATTCTACAGCCAAGCTTGTCCAAAGAAACTACTGAGACTACTCAGTCTTTCGTGATGCTCCTACAGCTGGAAGATAAATGGTATGTAAGGCCCCATTAATGCTACCTCACAAGGGAGCAGGGGCTCATCACATCTATAATGACATCACAGCTCTGGTCACATCACAACTGTAGTTTGCTCCAACTAGGAAAGGGGCCATGATTTTGTTGTTGTTGTTGTTGTTGTTGCTTGGTTTTGGTTTGGGTTTGTTTCTCCACCTTCCCTTCCCAAGGCTTGAAACATAATAGATGTGAAGTACATATTTCTTAAATGAATGGTTAAAGATGCTGTCCTCTCAGCCTACCTTGCCAATTTGAAGTTTTTGGAAATTGTCTTCGTTTGTACTCAAAGCAGCTTTCTTGCTCTTCTCAGTTTTGCAGAAGTAGAGCACGAAACCCTGGGGCCAGCAGCTGCCCTCGCTTACAGGATATGATACAATCTTTCAGCTCAAGCTGAATTTAATAAACACACACAGACACAAGAAACTCATCCAAATGGGAAAATGCCCTGATTCTTTTCCTGACTGAGAAGAGATCTTCCCAAGGGAAGGAAAGGCTGGGATGAAAGGGGAATCCAGGGAATGCCTGTGCTGAGGAGCCACAGGGGAAAGGAGCCAAGCAAAGGAGCTCTGACCTGGAGCACTGTTTCAGCTACAAGGAGCTGGAATAGGAGCAGGAAATTTGAACTCCATGGCAGAAGAGGGAGAGCTGTCTTCTGGGTACTAGACTAAGCACATGAAGAAAGAGGAGTAGTAACAGTTCCCTCACCATCAAGTGCCTCCCTGGAAAGCAGGGCCATGTACCCTCTGTGGAAAATGATTTCATTAAGTCTGGGGGTTGGAATGTATCAGGAGGCTGATTAATTAGCCTTCTTAGTCATAAGGCAGAAAAACTGCAAACTTAGCTCATTCACAAGACATTGCTGAGAGTCTTAAATCATAACAGCTACAGCTCTGCACTATGGAATATGAAGAGCAAGGGACCCCAGATACACAATCTCTAAGTAGAGATGCCCACTGGGGCTATGTACTAAAAATCTGGGTCTCCCAATTATTCACTGTGACCCTTGAGTCATTGATGGCATCCCTCTGAGCCTTGATGTTCTTATCTACAAAATAGGCAGGGTGGTGGCATCTTGAAAAGTTGGAAGAAGGCCTAGAAAGAACATAGCAGCACATAGCAGCAAGCTCTCACTAAATGGTACTTACTATTAGGAAGCTAATGGGTCTGAGACAAAGGCTAGGTTGAATACTGCTCCTGTACCTGGTAACCATATTCACCAAGTCCTGGGTATCTTCTGAAGGGAAGAGGTAGCACTACCAGAGTGAGAGATGCAATGCCTGTGTTTGGGCTCACCTCTATAGCCTAGTGCCTGGCATGATGTATTCACGACATACTCTGAAAGAATAAACAGTGGTTCTTGTTGTTCATATCATCCAATGGACTGAGCGCTCTTTCTCTCTCTCTCTCTCTCTCTCTCTCTCTCTCTCTCTCTCTCCCCTTTTCTGGCTGACTCCTCCTAGTAGAGGCTGAGTGTGTCTGAGAAGCAAAACCCTGCCTATGACACATCTGTGTACCTATTCCATAAAGCAGCACAGGAGATGGAGAGGGAATTAGTTTACTTCCTAAAAAAGATCAATTTGGGCCTTGGGGCCCTCACTTTCATCATTCTTTCAGCAAGTTACTCAATACAATTTCTAGGAAACCAGAAGATGTCTGATCCCCACAAGACCCAAATTCATTATTATCTAAGGCTGTGAATTCTGTAGTCTTGCATCAGATTTCTGGCTTCTGAGAAATGCTGCCTTGGGACAGAGACTGTCATGTAGCTTTGACTCACTTTCAGCAAAGAACCAGCATTGCTCTCCCACACCAGGCAGGGCTCAATTTGAAATCTTCCTCTTCCAGGATAAACTTTATGATTCCCAGGCTGGTCAAACCTCTTCTTCTTCTGTAGCTCTGTTTAGTTTCTCTTCACTTGTCTTCATCCCCTGCTACCCTACCTTTTTCCTTTTCCATACAGACCATGAATGAGGCTCTTTGTGTTTATTTTGTTGTTGTTTTCTTCTTCTCAGACAGGGTCTTCCTATGGCTGGCCTTTAACTTCCAATGAGCCTCCTACCTCTGTCTTCCAAGTGCTGCGATTCCAGCTATCTGTGAGGCTCTCTAGCATGGATGTTGTTGTTAGCAGTGTGCTCAGGGAGGCACATTTGGGGCACTTGAGGAAAAGTTGCAGAAGCAAGATAACTGATGGGATGCAGACCCACGCTCACACAGAAAGTATACTTCATGGCATTACCTGGGCAATGATATCCCCGTTCTCAGCATGAACTTGAGCAATGGCCCCCAGTTCTCCCAGGCAGGTGAAGATATCATAGAGCTGAAATAGAAAAGAATCTTTCTCACCTTCACAGTCAACTTTAACAGCTTCTCATAAAGGCTGATTGCTAAAACCAGAGCCAAAACAGTGGATTAAACCAGAGGAAATCAGTGAAGAGGGCAGAAGTAAAGACTACAATATGTGTCATCAGAGAAGGCTACAGTCCAAAGAAACTCTGTGTTCTGTATATATGAAGGACTGGCCATGACTTCTAGATAGACAGGACCAATATCTAACAAGTCCTTTCTCTGACATACGTCTTTAATGGAGTAATTGCCATTGAGCTGAGATACAGCTTCTGAACTCCCAAATCCCTTGACAGGCTGGTCAACAAACCTAACACAAATGCTGAAACTCTTCCTCTGAACCTTTCAAGACAAACTTACCTTCAGAGCCTTCCTAAGAGGTATGGGCACTAATTTCTTGTGTTTCTCCTGGTAATTTTACATCTATCTAAAACAAACATATCCACGCTTTCCTCGGGAGAGGCAAACTGCTGCAATTATGACAGGAAAGCTGGCACAAAGAGCAGGAGGCTGGTGTGATCTTATGAGGCAGAGAACCCCACATTTTCATGGACTTGGTGAGATGTTTGGAACTTGTTCAGTTGAAGTAGGTATGGCCTTCATCTTACCCCTCAGGACAACTGCTGCCAGTAGAAATTCTAGCTCCCATCTACTTTGCCACAGGGACCCTGCCCATTACCTTCTTTAAAATGCAGTGTAGACTGCAAGTGCTTCAAAACACAGTCTGGTACAGCGGTCTCCCACACTGACCACAGTGACTCATGTTTCAAGGAATAAGGTCATCAGCAGCAATAGAAAACACATCCAGACACCTCAAACCACATAGCAAATGGGTTGTTACCTCTGTGTTGGACACTTGGTACAAATCCTTGTAGGCCATATAAACCATGAAGGAGTTAACCCCTGCAAGACAAGGAAAGGAAGGAAAATAGGAAAAAGACATTATCACTAACACTGTCATCTCACCTCACTCACCATGGGTCTTGAGCACATGACTCAGGCATCTGTTCAATATAAAGGAGGTATCCCATTCTGCATCTCCCAAGAGCATCTTTTTATGTCCTTTCCTACCCTATAAAATCAGAAGTTCCTAGCTGGTATCATAGCACAATGGTCTGTCTGTGCCTGTCTCTTGCCCCATCACTCAGCACTGTAGCCCAGATTAGTACCTCTGAAATTGTTGGAGGCAGCACAGCAGAAACCAGAGAATTCGCTCTAACACACCAGTTGTGTGCAGACACTAGGGGTTGCAATGCCTGGACTCACTGCAGTGATCTTGGAACACTTAACTTCTGGGCTTTACTTTCCTCGGCTGTAAACTGGAAAAAAAACCTCTACCTCATAAGGCTGCAGTCTCTACTAAAGGAGACAAAACTTTAAAGGAGGGATCTTAGACCCTGTGAGGCAGGCATTTGATCTCCAGAGATGGGTTTATTTCACTGTTTAGTGAATGACTGTTACATACAGGGCTGCATGGTGAAGCATTTGAGAGAAGAAAGAGGACAATGAAACTAACCTTAAAAACTGTTTTGGAGCCAGGCCAGGTGGCACAGGCCTGTAATTCTAACACTGGAGAGTAGGAGGCAGGAGGATTGCTATGAATTAGGCGATATAGAAAGCACCAGGCTGGCTAGGGCTATACAGTAAGACTCTGTCTCAAAAAAAAAAAAAAAAAAAAAAAAAAAAAATAGGCGATATAGAAAGCCACAGGCGTGCCAGTGCTCTACACTAAACTCTTTGCCAAAAAAAAAAAAAAAACCTGCTTCTGAAATGGAGCAGGTACTCACATTGCATGTTTCTGTCACTAAAACCGTACCTTTGACCACACACACACGCACACAAACACACACACACGCACGCACGCACTGTATGTGTGTGTGCTTTCTGTAAGTAGACTATTCCCCCTCCTTTCTCTACAATCTGTTTAAAGTATGAAATCCAAAGTCAAATCTTGCTCTGTTAATCTACAAACACTCCTTATGATTTTTATAATAAAAGGGTTTGGGCTCTAAACTACATTTTAGGAACGATTCTTCCACACTAAGTTATCTAAACTTCAAATGTAAAAGTAAGATAGATACAAAATCTGACCTCAGGGAACTATTGGAGTGACTGAGGACAGAAAAAAAAAATTGTACTTTATGCTTTAAACATCAAAGCCGTCAGCATTCTAGCAAAAGAGCTATTTGATTTTCGCCCAAAATAAATAGGTAGGTGAAATAGCAGAACAGAAAATAATTTTAAGGAAAGGGGAATAATTTTTGTCTTTAACCATTAGGGTCATCTCAGCCCACAGTCTCCCCAGCCAAAAGTGGATTGCAGTTCCAGAATGTCCCTACCCAACCTGGGTCAGTGCAGGGCAGTTTCCCACAACATTATCAGTCCCAAAGGCCTCCAAGTCACCCTTGGAGTGCCCCAGGCCCTGTGTGGTTGTTAAAGTCACTGAATTTTCTACTACAGTTGAGATGCTCTTTTGGATAGGAGACACAGAAGAAGGAGGGGCTAATTTCAGATTATATTTCACCAAAGCTCGGACAGAGTTTATGTGGTACAGCAAGAGATAGAAAGAAAACCTCCTCATCTGAGGGTGCATCCTCTCCCCTCCAGTGGAGACAAATGCTGTTCTTCTAAGCTTCTAGCACTCGTGTCTAGTCTACTGATATGACCACATGTCTTGCATGGGTTTTTAAATATTTTATTATCTTTATTTTATGTATATGAGTGTTTGCCTTCATGTATGTAAGTGTATCACATGTATGCAATGTCCACAGAGGCCAGAAGAGGGTGTCGGATCCCCTGGTACTCGCATTATGGACAGTTAGTTGTTAGTCACCATGTGGATGCTGGGAATTGAATATAGGTCTTCTTGAAGAACAGTGATTGTTCTTAACTGCTGAGTCATCTCTCCTGTCGTTTTGAGGTATTCATTTGCCGCTTTATGCATTGGATCCCTAGCAGAGACCACTGCTTATACTTCCCTGGTTTCCCAGGCTGCCATACAATTCTGAGCGCATGGTACTTATTTGCATATTCACGTGCATGCCAGTGAATGTTAAATGATGATCAGAACATAGAAAGAAATGGAGACCAGAGAGATGGCTCAGTGGTTAAGAGAACGGGCTGCTCTTGAAGAGTACTTAGGTTCGGTTCCCAGCACCTGCATGGTGACTAACAACCATCGGTAGCTCCAGTTGCACATGATCCAACACCCTCTTCTGATCTCTGCAGGCACATTACACATGCACTTTTACATGCATGAGGGAATACACTCATACACATAAAATAATAGTAAAAATAATAAATTTAAAAATAAATAAGTGAATAGAAATTAATCATCTCAAATTTGCTAGCAATGTGGCCTCAAGGACAATAAGGTATTCTTGCCTCAGTTTCCTCTTCTGCAAAATGGGTGGAGGTGAAAGCATTATCTTTGGATAGATCTACTGCTTACTGAATATGATCCTGGGCAGTTATTCTGACCCTCAGCTTTTGTATCTGCAAAGTGAAACTAACAATGTCTATATCATGAGGATCCTGTAAAAAGTAAGGTTGCATAAATAAAAGCTCCTGGAACAAAGTAGAATCCTCACACTCAACACTCATGCTTAAGGTATCAGACTAAGTCAGGGGAGCAACTAACACGAGAGGGATGCTGTGGGAAGGGCAGGAGTGCTGTGGGAAGTGTGAATTGGTCCAAGAAAGGAGGGTGGAGAGGATGATTGGGCTCACCTTTGTCCTTGATGAGGCTTTGCACTTCCTGCTTGACGCTGTCGTTCCAGTGGGTGATGTCCACATGCAAGGCATAGTCACAACAGCTTTTCCCATCAGCCCACTCACGCCACTTTTCATAGGCCTCGGTCAGGCTGGACTCAGGCTCAGGTACCACATGGTCAACTGAAAGACAGAAGCCCATATGGATGATTCAGATACGGCTTTGTTCTCCCTCCCAGGCCTGCTCCTGCTTGCTTAGTTGTGGGTTTACAACCTCTATGTCCCCAGCATAAGCATTTCCAGTGCCTTCTACCAGGTTGATAATCTAAATGTCTCTTAACTATGGGTTTTGAGACAAATTATTAACTTTTCTAAACTTCAGTTTTCCTTCTTTAAAAGGCTTGCTAAGTGAGCTTGGCAATAGGTTGCAATGTTTTCTGAGTTTGCTATATGATTAGGTGATAAAAATGCATGCAAAATGACTCACCTGAAACCTGGCACAGAGTAAGTAGTCAATAAATGTTAGTGATCAATGACTGCCTGGTATATACTGTGATTTCTAGGGCTGAGTCACTGTTAGTGATAAAAGTTGTGCTCTTCTCTGAATGGAAGACATTTTCTACATAAGCCAGACCTAAGTGGCCATGATCCATGAATTTTCTAACAAGAATCTGTTTCTTTGAGGCCAGATCTACTCTTTTCCCTGCAGCCATGTATAATACAGCTACTGTTAGTAAAGGCAAGGCAAAAGGTAAAAGTTACACTCTCATCAGTGCCCCATGGGCAGCTGAGTTAAAGTGTGAATTGGTTCAACGTTCCTGAGAACAACATTGAAACACATACCCAAATATGCACATTTTTTATATCTGACTCAATCATTTATCCCTATGCCTAAGAATTATTCCTAGGGAAATTAGTTGCAGCTGTCAGCCAAACTTTGCGTCTAAGGATGTGTTAATATATGTATACGTGAATGGTGGATGTGGCTGAAGTCAAATAGAGAAGTCTAGCTAAACACATAAGTTGTGATGCCTTCACAAAGTGATGACTAGTCAGCAATTCTAAATATTGTGGTAGAATAAGCACAAATGACTAGAAAGATTCATAATAAATAATTAGGTAAAAATGGCACATTAAAACACAGTAAAAATATCATGATCCTATTGTTAAGTGGGGAAATAATATTTAGCCAACACTAATGGTGAGTAAGATAACGTGAATTCATTGCTCTCTGCCTACCTGGGCTTTCTAAATTATCTATGAAGAACACGGATGCGTCTGCCATTCTTTCATCTACATCTCTGAAATTCTTTCTGCCTAATGTAGAAGACTAAGCATAAGGCACATCACAAGCATGAAAAACAGACCCAACTCCTGGTCCAGATGGCAGCCAGCCAAGCCAAGGTCACGCATTTCCTCAGCCTTCTATCAAAGGAACCCACGTGCACTTATCGGAAAGCAAATACACACAGCTACATTTCTAATGTCTTCAAGGACACCAGGGCTTTCTCGGGAAGACAGCTGCTGAGAAGTCAGCTGGCATCCTCCCATGGCTGGAGGAAACTCAGGCCTCCCCGGATTACACCTTTTATGGCCTTGCAGCAATTTTCCAGGGCTTCCAGATTCAACTAGCTGAAGCTAATCCCTGTTGGTGGTTCAGTCAAAAGGAAGTTCAAAATAGATGGCAATTCTGGCCCAGGCTGTTTTGTGCCTGTGGGTAGATGTATACGGTGTTAAATAAGCAGTGTTCTGCCTGCCCAAGTTTGAGGGTAGCTCTGGACTAGGACCCTATTCATTGAGATCCCTTTGGACAGGAAGGTCTACCCTAGAATGCTATTGGTTCAGTAACCCAATGGCATGTAACTCCTAGATTTCTCTGGAATCACAAGTTACCAGAAGCAAAACAAAAACAAAACAAAGATAAACAAATGAACAAATAAAGGAAACCATTCACAGCTTGCCTAATCTTAAAGACACAAATTGCTCAAAATACAGCACAGACCAAATAGCACTAAATCCACTGAAACCCACAAATCTCCCAAGAACTGCCAGTCTTGGTGATCATTCCTTCTGACTTATCTTCTTCTTGGTCTCTTTCAAGGATCTCCTCTGTGTAGCTACAGGAAGCTGCCAGTTTCCTCAGAACAACCTGTTTCCTTACACCCCCAAAGACAGAAGTTCCACAAGCCAAACTTACAGAAGTATGCACAGTATCAGTATTATCAGAGAGCACTGTGCTCAGCTCCCACCTCTGTACCAGCAACATGTATAATCCAAGGACTTACTGATCATGGTGGTACCACCGGCTAAGGCGGCCTTTGTCCCTTGGAAGAAGTCATCCACTGTGGTCATACCCTTGTAAGGCATCTGGAAGTGAGTGTGAACATCAATGCCTCCAGGGATCACCATCTTCCCATTGGCTTCGATGGTTTTTACACCTCCAGGGACAATCAGATTGTCTCCAATTTGCCTGGAGAGAGAGAGAGAGAGAGAGAGAGAGAGAGAGAGAGAGAGAG